CAGGGTGGGGGAGGCCAACCTGCTGCTGGCGCCGCACTCGGTGCTAATGGGCTGCCAGACCCTGAACCAGCTGTCCTTCGTGTTCGTGCAGCTGGAGGACTGCAGGCAGACCTTCCTCCAGGCCCCTGAGGGCGAGGCCCTGTTCCGGGAGGCCCTGCTGCAGTTCTCCTGTGCCTACGCGTGCTGCCTGGTGCAGGCACACTTCCCCCACTGCGAGGGCACTGCGGCCGCCCGGGGCCACCTGGAGCCCGGCCTGTGCTTCTGCCAGTATGTCTCTGTGCAGCTGGAGAGAGGGTAACCCCATGTGGCGGTGGGAGGGCCTATGGAAGGGCCTTGTGTGGGCATCCAGCTGCCCCTTGGCCGGTGCTGTGGACGTGGCCGCCGTGAGGCCTGGCTGGCGCGCTGCCTCTCACCTCTGGTTAGTTGTGTCAAGCAGGGCAGCCTGCACTGCCTGCTCTGAGGACAGAGGTGACTGAGGGCAGATTGGGGAGGGGGACTTTGGTCAAACTACCTGAGAGACCCTTAGGGCTGGCCTGCACCTCTCTAGATGTCCAGAGGCCAGAGCAGAATACAGCTCCTCCAGGCACCTGCCCCTCGTTCTGGGACACGGAGATGAGAACAGGTCACTCCCTAGGGACTTGGAAACACACACACACACACACACACACACACACACAACACACACACACACACACACACACACGCTGGGCTCCTGCCTTCAGTGCTGAGAGCTTGCAGGGTGCCGGCCACAGGCATCGTTGGCTGGAAATGGGAGACCTGGGTTGTACTGGGAATGGTCAGATTTGCGTCTGTGGCCATTGATTCCAGACCGGTGAGCCCTTTCTGCTCTGCATGGCCCCAGGTTCTGAAATAAAGACCCCAGCCTGTCTTCATCCTCCCTTCTGGGGAGGGTGTGCGGGGGCTGCAGCAGCACCTCCCAGAACCGTGGCCACGCATGGCGGTGCAGCATCCTCATCCTCGCTGCTGCTGCCAGTCATCCCACAGGCACAGGGCAGCATCCCCGGGAGGTAACTAGGAACTGGTTCTGGATGTTGGGGACAAAGCAGGGAGCAGCAGCAGGCTGAGCCCTCCCTGAGCTGCGCCCCCCGGAGAATGAGATCCCCACACCTTACGCTTCACACCTCTCTCCAAGACCCCTCTCTGTTCTGGCCCAAGCACAGGCAGGACCTTGGAGGTGAGGGTTGGCCCCAGGGTAACATGGGCAGGCTACCCTCTGTGAAAGAGCAGTTGGCAGGTAATGACCTGCCAGACTTGAAGTCTGGTGCTGGGCAGATTCCCTGGCAACCTGCGGAGCCTTGGGTGGGCCCTGGCCAGATGCTACGCTGGTGAGAGTAGCTCATTGGTTCTGTGGTTTCGCTGCCTGCTTGGCCCTAAACTGACCCTCACCCCCTCCCACAGGCCCAGGCCCAGGCCCAGGCAGTAGCTGCAGAGTCACAAATGTCGTTCCTCATTTAACGTCCCACTGCCCTGGGAGTGACCTCCCTGTGGGAGTGGGCATGTGGACTCTCAGCGTGACCCCGACATGCGACCTGCCCAGTCCCACAGGATCCTGCAGTTCTAGGAGGTTCTGAGCACCGTGGCACAGGCCTGGAGTCACCTCATGAACCGGCCTCCTTCAGATCACCCACCCCCAGAGTCCCAGGCTCCTCTTTCTTCCTGCAGCTCCTTCCCAGGCGCCTGGCAGGGGAGCCTGCTCTGTGACTGACAAGCTGACGTGTGTGTCTGGGACAGCAACCTTGGTGAGGGGCTGTGATGACTGACCTGAGAGGGGCTCCACCTCCTGGATCCCATCCCTGTGTCCCCAGGCCCAGCTCTAGTGAGTGTTTGCCTGATGAAGAAGGGGATGTAACCTTGAAACGACCTTGAGGACATCTGAGGGTTACGCTTGTGATTTACTGAGAAGGGGTGGAGGATGTGACAGGAAGTAGGGAAGCAGAGCGGGAGGCGGCCAGGGGAGGTCAGCTTGTAGAGGACCAACAGGTTGCACACGGTCTGACCCATAAAAGGATGACCCCAAGGCCCTGGTTCCCCCTGTGCCAGTGTCCCCAGTGTGGTCTCTCTCTGAGGGTCCAGGTCTCTTCTCAGATGAACACATGGAATCTCTCACGTTTTCCTTGAACCTGTTCCCATCATCATCAGGTCCCTCGCCAGGGAGCCCATGGACCTGGCACACATTGTATGTGTAAGAATTATGTTTTTGACTTTTGGCATTTTATCTGGCACGATTAAAGCCTCACCAGCTGTTACACCTTCTTCTTTGGGCTGAGAGCTGGACTCAAGGACCCCCATACCACACCACGCACCTCACCGATGCGACCCACAGGTCAGCAAATTGCGTGTCTCAGTGTTGACTCCTCTGAGGGCCACACCTGGGACAGGACTGTGGGCAGGTGGCTGACCTGGCTTGGGGTCCTGTGGGGGCATGTCATCCGGGTCACTCCTGCAGGCCAGCCGACAGAAGCCAGCTCGGGGTTCTACTCCAGGGCGTTGACTTGTGAGTTTTTAGAAGAGGTTTCTGTTAAATATGAGCGTGAACAAATGTAACGGATGCCTGGAGGCTGCAGGGACCCCTGGGTTGCAAGCTGGAGCCTGACTCTGATTGCAGGGGGCTCAGCAGGGCCCCCCACCCCGCAAACCCTGACCCTGGTCACACTCAGGTCCGGCAGAGCGCCAGCAGGGACACTGCCTGCCCTCCGGAGGGACACTAGGACATCGTGCCACCGGTGACGGGTGACAAGCACCGGAAAGGCATGGAGCTCTGCTCTCTGACTCCGGAGAGGCTCACCAGAAGTCATGGGAGCCTTGCACATGCATGTTGTTTGCTACTGAAAACCTGTGAAACTCAAGAGGATGTGGCATCCACGACTTGTTTTAACTTGAATTTTGTCTCAGGGATCTTGGGGTTTGGTTTTAGGATGCGAGAGAGAATTTCAGTTTAAGATCTGATGAGACGGCGAGTCGTGTGCACAGCCGCAGAGGTTTTGTAAGATAGGTTTGGCGGTCTGCAAATTGCAGGGTCAGAGCACTCAGGAAGATCAGGTCTGAGCATTTATGATGAACATTTAAAATACTAGGGAATCTAATCGATCAAGCTTGTCAAGAATGTGTAATGTCTTAAAACTGTTAGAGAAATTGACTATATCGAGTATATGAGTCAGTAAAATATTCATTAAGAGTAAGTAAAGACATACACGAACACAAAAGTTACTAGATTTATAAAGGAGCTTTTAAATTGAGCTTTAAAACTTGAGAAAAGCTGTTTTTAAATTTATATTTATAAATGTTTATAATTGTATAAATTAAAAAAATTTAATGCAGCAACACTACTTCTAGGAACTTGCCCCTGAAGATAAATCTCCAAGAATAAAAAATATGTATGTGTACAGGACAACACTCCAGCCAACTGACCCACCTGGCTGGAGTGTTGTCCTGTACACCGAAAGGCTTTGGATTTGATTCCTGGTCAGGACACATACCTAGATGACGGGTTCGATCCCTGGTGGAGCTGGTATGGGAGGCTACTGATGGATGTTTCTCTCACCAATGTATCTCTCTCACATCGATGTTTTTCTCTCTCCCCCTTCCTCTACCTCTGGAACCAATGGGATAATACCCTCAAGTGAGCATTTTTTAAAAAGTATAAATTACTCATTGAAGCATTGTTTGTATTGCAAAATATTGTAAACAGCCTAAAGGCCAAGTGCAGGAGTTTATGCTAATGAAATAACACAAGATGGGGCAGATAGCATCTGGATCGGGGCTCAGGGAGGACTGGTCTCCAGAAGACCAATGCATGAGAACATAGGCACCTCTCTTTGGGGAGAGGGCTGGATACTGGGTTATGAAAGCTCTTGAGCAAGGCGATTTGGATGCCAGAGAGGGCACAGCAGCACTTCCAGGGATGCAAACCCTAAAACACAGCCTCTCCAGCTGATTGTGACGGTGTATCGCACAAGTCAAGGTCAGCCTACAGAGTGTCCGCTCACTTCAGATCTACCCAGGTCATGACAGCCTGAGCTGTCCCAGATGGAAGGGGGTAAGACAAGACAACATGGGTCCTGGGTTGGATCCTGGGTCAGGTGTGTGTGTGTGTGTGTGTGTGTGTGTGTGTGTGTGTGTGTGTTGGTCTTGTGTGTGTGTGTGTGGGGGGGTGTTTGCTACAAAGAACATTATTGAGACGATTAACAAACTATTAATAAGGTATGTAGATTAGATAATATGATTGTTTCAAGGCTAAATTCCTGATTTTGATAATTGCATGGAGTGATGTAAAAAATATGCCCTTGTAATAAGGAAATCCACATTGAGGTATTTAAGGGTAAAGAAGTAGTTGCCTCTCAACTGACTCAGAAAAAACTTTGGATAAATGAAAGCTAGAGAAATGATACAGGCCAGACAGATAGATAGGTAGATGAATGGGTTGATAGATAATGATGGGTAGACTGAGGGATGGGTGGGTGCATGGATGGATGGATGGATGGATGGATAGATAGGAGCCCAGCGATTAAGGACACTGTGCATAGCCAAGCCTCCCCTGACCCCCCAGAACCACCCTCCTCCTCACATCCCAAGTTTGTTCCCACTCCACTACCCACCTCGCCTCCGTTGTGCCACGGTTTCCCTCACAGCCCACTTCCTGGGCACTACCCACTGTTCCTAGGCTGCCCGGACCCTCCACCCCCTTTGCCACCCAGGCCTGGAAGCTCCCCTGGGTGCAGGTGAAGTTACTGTACTGTAGCTGCCGAGAGAGACCACAAGGCCCTGTGTACTGGTGGCTTTGACCCCCAGGCCCACCGCGCAGGGGCCCCCTCTCTCCAGGCGCAGGTCCCAGCTCACCATCCCACCTAGTTCTTCGGTGGTCCTTCCGCTGGTGGGGACATGGGGGGGCGGGGGCTCAGCCACATGGGGGTGGGGACAGGAGAAGGGCGGAGCGACCGAGGATGCTCAGGGTCACCAGGAGGCCAGGTGGGTGTGAATCTTTATTTAGAGAAAAGCGACAGAGCTGGAGGCTCCTGGCGGCAGGCGGCAGCGGGGGTCCTGGGAACAGGGACGACCACGT